TATTCTTGGTGTAAATTGTATTAATTGACAAAAATATAGTGGACTTTTTTAATTAATAAGTAGGGCATTGGTTTAGCCAATCAAATTAATAAAAATTTACAAAAAACAGATATTGATATTATTGCGATTTTCGAAATGGTTGAAAATGGCAAATAGAAACATTTTTGGTAAATACCGCGAATACTAGAATACTCGAATATTCGAATACTCGGTTACCTTAGCACATTGATTAAAGATCAATGTGTATTCTAGTATACGCAGTATTAAAAAAAAGTGTTTTAATTTGCCATTTTCAGAATACCGATACTATCATTGAAATTATGAACCACAAATCAATTTTTCCATTGAATGTATGCAGATTTGGCAAGCGACCGTAACTTTAGTCACGGGAGCGATATTATCGCGAGAGATCAGCAGATTACTGTCGCATGACAGAACATGGAAGAGGCCAATTGTTTGTGGGACAACTATTTAAGGGCTTAGCGCGAAAGTTTGTTTGTTGCGTTTTTTCGCTGCTGTCGCCCGAAAGTATACCTTTCTGGCTCTATCGAAAACACCCACCCACCCGCCGCGGGGTCACCACTTCATACTAAGCGTTGCTCTAGACAGCTGTAAAATTGCTGCACCACCCCAGCATGGTTCGGAGCCAGAAGTAGAATTAGTGACGTGCTGTGGTTACGCCACACCGTTCTCACGCGGCTGTGTACCCCCACACCGCTCGCAAAAGATGACAAGGAACTGAGTAGTAATTAAAATGACTGTCTAAGTGCCATGTGTTCCAGGAAAGAAACGAGATTTGTACTATTTCCCATATTCTAATAAATGATTTTTGTTTTGAAATGGACGATCTCGAGCGAAAATAAATCGATATCGATATTGTGAGCCCCGAAATTTGTCCTACCGTTATCACGGTTACGCGTGATCGATCGTCGCATGTAGGACCCGTCGCTTACCCGAGTAATTGGTCCCGTGAAAAGTAAGAGAAAAATCTTACTTTTCTTACTTTTATTACTTTTATTACTTCGGGTAGATCGACGGCATATAGAACGTTCGGTTTTTCGTGATTATAGAAGGGAAACGGGTCTTATGGGAGATGTAATGTAAATAGATAATGTAGGAGAAATAAACTCCAAATGTAAATAAAACCTTTATTATAAATAAAGGGCTTTCCGCCCAGGGGGAAAGTAACGGCGATATCCCCAAGTACATACATTTCGCTTAAATAAAACTAAAGTATCGAACTCCTAATTAAAGTGAAACTATAACCCAACCCGAACCAACAAACTATTGTTAAAACTCATCGA